TTCATACTCTCCTCCTCTGTGTCGGCTAAAGTCAATAGTTGATACTCTTGACTTTTCCCAACACGTCACGTTCACAACACGATCCGTGAATAATCCATTTAATGAAACCTGTAATAATATTATTGATCATCTTTACTGTAATAGGCCAGAAGTGATAGATAATGTTGTTTCCCATCCTGCTCTTCCTGGTTGTGATCACCTAGGCATTGCATTTACTTATAAGTGTAATTTCAAAACGCATTTCTTTTCCCATACTGGTACATTTTTTCAATATTCTAAAACAAATGTTAATGATTTCTTAGAAAATTTCTCTCATACTTGTTGGGATACTTGTTTCGAACATACTGATATTGATACAATTTGGTGCAATAAGTTTCTAGATAACATTTATAAATTAATTCTACAGCGCAAAGCAAAACGAAAACCAAAAAAGCCGTGGATTAATATAAAACTTTTAAAACTCATAAGGAAAAAAAATCGACTGTATAAAATCGCAATGCGATCTCGTCTTGATTCTAGCTGGGGACGTTATAAGGCGTGTAGGAATAAAGTAAAACACGAGTCCAATGCTGCCTACCACAAGTATATTACTGTTCTAGCTGATAAGTGTTCGGATAACGGCAAGGCCTTTTGGTCTTATGTCCGTAGCCGGCGTGCTAAACCACTTGCATCTAGCTTTGATATTAATGGCAATAAGACGTGTGATACTAATCAAATTGCTCATGCATGTAATAATTTTTTTGTTTCTAATTTATCTAATGAGCAATTAACATCTGACTTATCTGAATCCTCTTGCGTGGAACATGATGGCACTTTTCCTTCTCTTGACTTGATTCAAACTAACACTCGCGAAGTTCTCAAGATGATTAATAAGCTCAAATGTGGTAAAAGTCCCGGTAATGATGGGATCACGTCTACTATGTTGAAGTTATCGGCAATTTATATTGTCGAGCCACTCACAAGGCTGTTCAATATTTCACTTAAAATAGGGAAAATACCCTCGGACTGGAAAAATACCACCATTGCTCCCATCCACAAGAAAGGTTCAAGATCAAGTATTACTAATTACCGACCGATATCTCTTTGTTCTGTTGTAGGGAAAGTGTTGGAGAGAATTGTTTCGAACAGACTTACACTTTATATGAGCACGCATGGTTTAATCTCAAATAACCAACATGGGTTTGAAAAGGGCAGATCGTGCACATCGCTGATCTGTTCCGTACATCACCACTGGGCCACCATTCTCGATGAGAGAAAACCACCTCATATAGATGTAATATAATTAGATTGGAGCAGCGCTTTTGATAAAGTCAATCATGCCATTCTGTTAAAAAAAATTCATAAATACGGTATAAGTGGTCCTATGTGGAACTGGTTTACATCGTTTTTATGGAACCGCTTACGGAAAGTAAACTTTAGAGGTTCATTTTCAGAGGAATCCCCAGTTACCTCTGGGGTCCCGCAAGGGTCTGTTCTAGGACCGATTTTATTTAACATTTTTGTTCTGGACCTCGCAGACAATATCGCTTCATATATTCCCCTATATGCAGACGATATGGTCTTGTATCGGGCTATTCGTTGTCCTCTTGATGAACATGACCTTCAATCCGATTTAGATACTATATACAATTGGAGTAAGAATAATCACATGACTATTAACGAAACTAAATGTAAAATAATGAGAATCACCCGGTCAAAAATTGTCAGTGAATCCTTGAAAACTTACAGTATTAATGGTTCCCAACTCGACATTGTAAAACATTACAAGTATCTTGGTGTTATTATTTCTTCAAATTTAGGGTGGGGGAGCACATAAAATCTGTCATATCTAAATCTTCACGTCTCTTGGGTTTCATCAAACGGCTCATTCCTTTTTATAATTCAAAACTCATATTAAAATTATACACTGCTCTTGTTCGACCTCTCATTGAGTATGGTGTCCCAGCCTGGAATCCCTATCAACAAGGACATATTCAGCAATTAGAACGCATTCAAAGGAGAGCGACAAGGGCCGTTATTTATTTATCAATTGTCCACCTTATGAAGAGAGATTTACTAACCTTAGAATACTTTCTCTAAAACACCGATTTAATTTACTGACAATCTCATTTATTTGTAAGTGTCTCTACTCAATTCATGATTTGGATGTATTTCCATTTGTTTCTGTCAATCAAAGACACACTGACAATTTAAAATTTATACATGCTTTTGCCAAGACTAATGCTTTAAAACACACAGCTTTTAATAGTTTCCCCCGACTCTGGAATGCTTTACTTGCTGATAAAAGAAATTTATTACTCTTTAACATTAATAATTTTTTGATGGAACTGAATGATTATTATAACAACATTTAAGGGATTTGGGAATTTGCTCGATTGCTCTCTCTGTGGTTTATTTTATCTGTACTTTTTATTAGGCTTTTTTAATCTTTTTGTAATTATATTATGTTTCTTATACCGTACTGCATTTTAATGTTTATTTTTAAATTATGTATATAGAATTGCGATATTGTATCTTTGTTGTCATGAGGAGAGCCCCTCGACAGAAGATCTTCTACTTTTGGGCAATCCTGCCACATGATAACAATTGCTATTTTTGAAATTTTATATTTGTATATTTTATATATTTATATCTATTTGGCGAAATAAATGAAATAAAATGAAATGAATATATATATATATATATACTTATACACATCTAGATGTGTATAAGAGACAGGTGTGCGTGTGTGTGTAACATTTTCTCCTTTTATTATATTATGCACCACTTCTCGTTAGTATTTTTATATTTAATATTTTTACTATAGTTATAGTCCTATTTTATTGGGCTTTCCATTTATATCCAACATTATTGTATTTCACTTTGAAAAAATGCGATTGAGTGTACCGGCCAATTGCTTTGGAGCAAACAGCATTCAATATTTATTACCGTATGTATTGTATGTTTTGAATGCTACGCGCGCAATACTGTAGAAACGAAATGATAGCGTAACTAAAAATATATTGATATCCGATCAGTAAATATGAATGTATACTTAAGGCAATACTTTAATACAATCTGTCCATTTTGTACTTGACAATTTCCGTGGTTAATTATAAATATTTTGTAATAGCCGCCATAATGATCAGTAGTACTGATTAAAGACCACTTTGACAGGGGGTTTGATGGTCTTTAGCAGCTTGGTCTCTAATTAGAATCCCTCTAATTAAAGACCGGCACTAAAAGTGGTCATGTATATTATTATTTAGAGGGAAATTAAGAAATGATAACGTAAATGTAAGATCATTTTATTCCAATGCCTTAGAATGGATCTACAGTCACTGAATGCTGTTGATTGATTCTTGTATAAGCCATTTCTGGATATTCACACATAAAGTCCTGCACTTCTGATACTTAAATCTCCATTGCATTATTACTATAGAACAGCATCGTCCTACTAAAACTATTGGTGTAGGCCTACTCAATAGAGCACTCACTGTATACAAGAAACATCATCTTTTGTTGTGTAATATTTTGATGTTTATATTCATATCATCATCATTATTTTAAAATAAACTGCAATAACGTCATTATATTGCAATGCAAATTCTTTATTTGAAGGTATTTTTTTTCAAAAATTTAGTTGGGTCTTCCAAAACCATTATGACACATCTAAGTTTGAATGCCCTACTAACAAAATCGGTATTCAATATGGAGCATGTATACACATCTTCACTAACATCACGATGTATATTTTAAAAGTACAGTAGTACTTATTTAAGGGAAATTTTCAATTTCTGCCAGAACTACCTATGGGTGCCTAAGGCCTATGTCTACAGTAGTACGGTACTGTACTATTGGCATTGTTGAAAACAAAGGAATAGAAAAAATAGCATTAATATCTCTATTTATTTTATAGGCCTGGTGGTCGTTAAATAGAGTGAAATTTTTCATTTGGGACCACCAACATCATGGTCTTTGGTCTCTAAAGAGAGGAATTTTTTAATTGGAGGGAACAACTTGAAAGATAGGAATTCAAAAGGGACCACAGAAAAGTGGTCTTTAATTGGAGGTGGTCTTTAATTGGATTGAGACCCGTTAATGACAATAAACTGTACTTGCATTGCACAAAATTACCTGACATCTTTATTGTTGGGTAGAAATTATTATTATTATTATTATTATTTTAAAATTTTCTTCAATCTTGTAAAAGCTTACTATTAGGTAAATATTAAAATATTTTATCTAAAAATATATTTATATTCCTTATAAATACCAGTTATAAGGAATATAATTAAAACATATAAATAAATAAAAAATATATATATATATATATAAATAAATAAATAAAATAAAATAAAATTTGGTCGTGTGATTGTTTTTATGTAGAAAGGGGACGATCAACAACTTCTCTTTTTGCATGGCCTTATAGTGAGTTAAACTGCAGGAATATAATATGCGTGACACTGTAAACAATTCAAGGTGCAGAATAAAAACTGCTAAATATCTAAATGTTTCCCTCAATTATGCTAAAATATGGAATAATATTCACTTCGTGAGATGAAGACTTCGATGACCTATGTTGTTACAGTTTTTCAGACAGGAAGGTTTCGAATTATAGACGTTATCTCACTGGGTTATGCTACTGTAATTGTAGGCTTTGAAATAAGCATATAAAATGATTAGCTCCATGTCTACTCTGTGTATAGGCCTATTTAAATCTCGGTACTGTAAAGACAATATAAAAAACAGTTTTATCATGCATACAGCATAATTACGTTATCGCTTCTAATGGTTTGCTCTATTAAATGCAGACCAAGTTTACAGATCACTGACAGAACAAAAACATATAAGGATAACAGAAAAGAATAATGAATATTGTGCTTTAAAATTGTAAATTACGGTAGGTGAACGATGGCAAATGAAGTCAGGTTATTATATTTTCAGCAAGAATGGAATGATAAACATAAGTAGAAACTTTTATGATACACCCAGTCTATATTCTATATATAATTTGTAGGGTTAACGCTGGAAATGGATATTAAGCAAAACGACTACATTGAGGATATACAACCGGCGGCCGGATTGAAAATCGTAGTACACGATCAAACTGAGATGCCGTTTCCCGAGGACCAAGGAGTTACTGTTACGCCAGGAACAGAAACATCTATAGCCATATATAAGGTAAATGGTATATACATACCCCATTCGTAGCAGAGGAGGTATTCATGCT